TTGGATTAACCTCAGGAGCTTCTTCTTCCGAAGCGGCTGACGTGGTTGATCCGGTCGAGTACCTTCATCTCGCCGGCATGATCGGAGCAATCCGACCAGCCCACGACGATCTTGAATGGGTCGAACGCGAATCTAACCCCGGACCACAGTTTCGGATGGGAGAAATCGATGTACTACGGACACTTAAGCAACTGGATATTCGTGTTCCGGTCCCTGTGGGACATCTGCTCACGATATCCGAACTTGAAGCAACAAATGACAAGCTGCTGCAAGAATGTCAGAAGAATCAATAGCGCTTTACATACCAGCGCATACAACGAATGTTGAAAAAGAAGAAGGAAGAAGGAGCGAAGTATGTTGCACCGCCTGAACCCGAAGTTGGTGAACCCGAAGTAGCGCGAGTAGCCAAGATTTCTTTAGCTGAGAAAGATCATTTTCTACGAGCTCGACCAGTGTTGTGGAAACGTGCGGAATGTGATTGTGAAGTATGGGGCAAACCTTTTAACGCTCTCATTGATACCGGCTCGTCTGCGGTCGCTATATCATTAGATACAGTGAAAAGGACAGGACGACTCAACTCGATTCTCCCTCAATCTGGCAAGGACCATTACGTCTCTGGCGAGTACACGTCCTCGTTAACGCTTTAATCATAGATGTGCACTCATATTCAGTGTTGTTGGGACTGCCTTGGGCAATGGCGGTAGGTGCCCGCATGGATTTTGATTCCAAGCAGTTGGTGCTCACGCAAACAGGAGGCAAGCCTCAGACAGTTCCGTTGCGGATTTTAACCCGAACAGTAAAAAGAAATCATAATCCTGCTCGGATAGGGATGATTCAAGGTCTCGATCACGAGGAATCTTCATCCCTGAATAACAGTCGCGGAATCGAAGAGCAGGAGTGTGAGGAAGAGATGCCTAGTGAGATGAATGGAAACACTTGGTCGAGCTTTTCGAGCACGAAACCCCCGAGGAATTTTGGATGGTTCCCAGAGTCGCCCCAACCTTCCACTTGAGTCTGGAAGACAACACGATCGCGACTATGGTAAACCAGGTCAGTCCTTCGACCTTTCTCGGAGAACCCATCTTGCAAATATCTGACTTGGCAGACGATTTGGAACCCTCTCGCACCTTGTACGAGGGAACACTTTCCCTTCGAGCACGCTATCAACAGGCGAAACAATACCTGAATGTTTTTGTTTCCCCTCCAAGGTCACTGCTTACGACAGGAGCGACCATCGCTCTGATTAAACAAGAAGCCAAAGCTCCTGTCGACGATGTGCCGAATCTGATGCAGGAAATGGCCGATTTAACAGGACTAACCGTGGAAGAAACCACGACTGATTCGGAGACTGACACCGAAGTTAGAGAGACCGAGATGATTAGCCCTGCTGAATCCCAGATGATTGCGACTGTATTTTCTGTCCGCACTAGTAGTTCCATTTTCTCTAGTGTCCATGACCAACGGAATCGGCCTGCTGATTGGATCGACATACCCCTGGAGATACCTGACCAACCAACAGTCACCCTACCGAATCACGTCCCCTTGGAATTTCGAAAATCGTTGATTGATGTCTTAAACGGGTACGTGGAGGTATTAATTGTGCGCGATAAAGATATCGGACTGTCCAACGTGATTGAGCATGCTATCCTTACGGGGGATCATCCACCCATTAGCTGCGTTCCTTACCGATACTCGCCAACCCAACGGGCGGCCGCGTTTCAGCGGATCAAGGAATTCGAAGCTAATGGATGGATCGAACCCGCTATAGGACCGTGGTCGTTTCCTGTGGTAATCGTGACCAAGAAGGCCGGAGGGATTCGCATATGCATCAATTATCGGAAACTAAACGATATCACGATCAAAGATGTGTACCCCCTTCCCCGGATTGATGAGCTGTTGGATGCGATTGGGAGTGCTCGATTGTTCAGTAAGTTTGATGTTCGACATGGGTTTCACCTTCTGCTTGTTCGAGAGGAGGATCGTCCGAAAACAACGTTTGTGTTGTTTGAAGGTACCTGGCAATGGGTTCGATGTCCAATGGGCATTTGCAATGCCCCCGCAACCTTTCAGCGAGCCATGAACATGGTTTTTCATAACTTTGTGCGGAAGACACGTCTGGCGCAGAGTATCATCAACTATTGCGTGATCGTGTACATGGATGATATTCTAGTGTATTCGAGTTCTTACGAGGGGCATGAGCAGCACATCGAATGGACGTTGAATGCACTAAGGGATGCCGGTTTCAAGGTGGCGCTGGAGAAATGCCAGTTCTTTCTCCCCACCATTTCCTTCTTGGGACACGTGGTGACGGACCAGGGACTCAGACCGGAACCGCAAAAGGTGGCAGTTGTGAGAGACGCGCCTGTGCCCATGACTATCACGCAAGTTCGCGCCTTTCTGGGCCTGGCCTCGTACTACCGAAGATTTATCAAGGGCTTCGCGGCTATTTCGGATCCCCTCACGAATCTGCTGAAAAAGGATCAGTCGTTGATCTGGACGCCAAAGTGTGATCAAGCGTTTTCGAAGCTCAAGGCAGCTCTTATTTCGGCTTCAGTCCTTATAAGACCGGATCCTGCGAACTTTGTAACCGACTGAACGCGCTGAACGCGCGTTCACGTTCAAACGCGCACGTTCATACCCCTCGGGACCACGTTCAATCGCGTTCAAACGCGCTGCGCGCCACGTGGCACGAAAAAATTGAACGCAACCTCAGGGGGCGCGCGCGCGTTACGGACGACGAGGTGGTGGGCCTCGTTCAAGGAACCCCGAAAGTGCAAAAAAAACACCCCCCTCGAGGCCTACTACCCCGCCTACCATAGGTGATTTAAGGTGAAAGCTCTTTTTTTTTTTTTGGAGCGGGCGGGGGAATCCCCGAACACGACTCAGACTTCCCATGCAGGCTATCTGAAGGGTCCTCGCAGCCATGTAGCGCAGACCCCCCCACCAAAATCAAGGCAGGCAGTGAATATGAAATAGAGCTCGAGCTGGCCGAACATATACTCAAGATTCGACTTCAGGTCTGTGTTTCAATAGTTATGGGATGCTCACGCAGCTAGGGCCTGCTGATCTCTGCACGTGACTCTTAGGGCTTGGCTGCACTACTCACCAAATGTGCAAAACTAGAATGAATCTTCTGCAGAACACGGAATAATACGCCGCCATATGTTTTGTCTTTTGTGCATGTGGTGAGTACAGACCCTTAGGGCCACTGCACGTATTCTTGAGAAAAGAAAAACCAGAAAAAAAGATAAACGAAAAAAAAGAAAAATAAGAAGGAAAAAAAAAAAAAAAAACAAGAAAAAAGACAACATATGGCGACGTATTATTCCATGTTCTGCAGAAGATTCATTCTAGTTTTGCATATTTGGTGAGTAGTGGAGCCAAACCCTAAGAGTCACGTGCAGAGACCAGTAGGCCCTAGCTACATGAGCAACCCATAACTGCTGAAACGCAAACCTGAAGTCGAATCTTCAGTATATATTCAGCCATCTCGAGCTCTACTTCATATTCAATGCCTGGCTTGATTTTGGTGGGGGGGCCTGCGGTACATGGCTGCGAGGACCCTTCAGATAGCCTGCATGGGTCGTCTGAGTCGTGTTAGGGGGATTCCCCCGCCCGCCTCAAAAAGAAAAAAAAAAGGATCCTTCACACATACACACACACACATTCACACACAGTTGGATTCCAACGGGATTTTACGGGCATCAGGTCTTGAGCCGGCACCCTTTGCCACAGGAACGAAGTCTCGTAACCAGTACAACCCTTGGAGGTGTTATATAAATTTAATCCATACCGGTAGTGATATCCAGCCCACCCCTAGGGCTGTAGTGTCCTTGCGGACTCAGCAACACACGCACACTCCGTTCACATAGCACACCAAGGCTACTATACCTGGTCACCACGGCGGGACTTCAACTGCCCGCANCGCACACTCCGTTCACATAGCACACCAAGGCTACTATACCTGGTCACCACGGCGGGACTTCAACTGCCCGCAGGTTCCACAGGCGCATTTCACAGTTGGATTCCAACGGGATTTTATGGGCATCAGGTCTTGAACCGGCACCCTCTGCCACACGAAAGAAGTCTCGTAACCACTACAACCCTTGGAGGTGTTATATAAACTGGATCCATACCGGTAGTGAGATCCAGCCCACCCCCAGGGTTGTAGTGTCCTTGCGGACCTAGCAACACACGCACACTCCGTTCACATAGCACACCAAGGCTACTATACCTGGTCACCACGGCGGGACTTCAACTGCCCGCAGGTTCCACAGACGCATTTCACACACACACACACGCACAATTTCACACATACACTTTTTTTTTTTTTTT